AAGAGTTGAAATTCAAATATCAAAGTAGAAGAACAAGTTAATATAATGAAGTCAGTGCTCAAACTGACCTTTGTTGTTCTAACAGCCATTTCAGGAATGACATCAGGAATAAACATGCACAATTCGCTAACTTTATCATGAGTAGGTCCATAATTTGGATTTTTTTCTCGCTTAGACATACTTCTACGATTTCTGAAAAAATATTATAAGGTCCATTCTCAAACTGATTTAACATTGAATAAGGAAACAGAATCAAAATATCAGCAATAGATAATCTGTGAGCCTGTATTCAACAGGATTAAATTAATACCCATCAAGTCGTTTTTTTAGTTCAGATTAAAGCTGACGCTGTCTTGTCTGCGTGGGTTATAGAGAAAACAGCAATAAACCAAATCAACCCAAACATTTGGTCAAAATAACCACAAATTCCATATTCCACAACATTTAGTCAAAATATCCATGCCGACCAATTATGTATTTGTTATTTACTAAGATTAAGAATCCAATGATAATATTAACATAAATTTTGACCAAAGTTTTAGTCATTTTGGGCAAAGTCAATTTTGACAGTTTTGATTTAAGACTGTTGTGACCACATCCCATTTATATTGCCTGCAGTACGTGGATGCCAAATGTACAAAAGAAAATTCAATTCATCAGATCTTTTGAAGGAAGCACTGAACGGAATTGATCTATTCTTGGCCTGATATTCCTTTTAACGATTCAACTTTCAGAATATCGTTATTTGCAAGAGAATCAAAATCACTCAAATGACATTCAGACACTTTAATATTTGAACTTTTTATCATATAACTGAGTTAGTATCACTAATAAATGGTATTAGTTTGTTTTGTCTTTTACTACAATAAGTATGAGTGTTTCTTCTTATATATTAAAAGTTGGGTACTAACAATTTTTAAACTATATCATTTGAAAACAAAAAAATGTTCATCTAAAAAAACTTTAAAATATATTTTTCTAAAACTTCTTTCTTTTAATATTTTAGTATTTAAATGTGCATTAGCAAGTTCTATTTCTAAAACAAAATGTGATTTTAGGCATATGCAGAAGATTGAAAACTTTTTAATTAGATAAGGTGTGTATCCCTACAATATAATGTCTATTACAACAACAATGTGTGTATTCCTACAATATGATGTGTATCACAACAATATGATGGGTATTACAACAATATCATGTGTATCACAACAATATGATGGGTATTACAACAATATCATGTGTATCACAACAATATGATGTGTATCGGTTGTGATACATTCTGTAATAAATCAATAAAAAAAGCAATGTGCAGTTACTACAGTATTCAATTGAAATAAAATGTACTGGTAATTTATTTTATCTCATAGTTATCTACATGTAATGTAGTCTGATGATAAAAGTTAATTACATGCCCAAGGTTATATTGTTTGACCTAATTTGTTTTAAACGGAAATTTGGAAGTGAGTAACTGAAGTCTAGTCTCTGTGTATAAAATAACTTCCTTTAGCGAATAGCTTTATTCACTTGGGTATTTGAAGTTTTATATTGTGACTGCAGAATTAATGTACTGTTTGCTCTGTCTATGTTTTGTTGATCAGTTTTCCTGTCTGTCAAACCTGTGAATGTAGTAACATATGAATGTAATTTTCAGAAACCTTCAAATGTGCTTAAAGCTGGACAATTAGAAAGCTAAGCTAAGCAATAAAAAAATAAGCTGATTATTAAAGCAAGCACCACACATTAAACACTACAAAGCTATCCCAAATGCAGATTTTAACAAAAATGTGTTTTTGTTTCTATAATGGGGCCAAGAAACATTACATAAAACCTAGTAGTACACACAAGAGGATTTCCATTTTATACTATCTAATAGCTGGAGTTGACAGCAGAAATTGTAATTATAATGATTCGCCAATGGTTTAGGTTAAAGTATATATATGCAAATTACAATTGGTATAAGTTGAACTGATTTGATATATTAATATAAACACAACAGTTCTATGGATAACAATTACTGTATTTCTATTAAAGCTACATTCAAACAGTATACCAGACATCAATATGATTTGATATATCAGGTGTATATTATTTATTTAGTTTTGATTTATGTATAATGTACTCTTTTTGTGAACATAGTATTGAATAAAGCATTTATGTTGAAATCACTGGCTATTTGAGTTAATAATGTAGATTTGATTCAAATATAACATTTTATACATTAGAACTTTACATGCATGAATATAAATTTGTACAAGATTCATCAATTTTAACCCTCCACAATTTCTTGTCGACACACTGTTCAAAGTATTCAATTCACCCTCCTTATAGTGACTTTCAGAGTAAAGATGTACCGGTAAGCACATCACTTTAGGAGTGGCTAACCCAAAATTATGGGCAGTGACTGATTCCAACCTGATTGATTGACCTAACAAACAAAAGGCAGTTCAAGAGCTCTGCTTTTGTATGGTGCTTAAATGAAATGTTAATTGACCAACAGGGATGCCGCTACATGTACATCCACATCAAATTTACAATTGTCTCTTTACCCATTTCTGGACCACTGAATAACATGTATGCAAATATTAAGTGACTTTTATTACTTTAAAGATGTTACAGATAAGTCCCAACATTTGTGATAGTTTTATAGTTAGTGATCTAAGAGGAAAGAAGATTAAAGCATTGACTTTAGACGTGCATATATTTTTAAAGAATGTGAGATTGTTAGTTAAGCAATTGAACAATTCCGATAGTCTTCCCACATTTAAATCAAACCTGTCTATTAGTCCATTATGTGATGGATAATGGCCGAAGACTGTCCATTATGTTCTTCATATGGGGGATAATAGCCGCCAAAGTTGTGATGGAAAGGCTGCTCAGAAAAATGATTTAGATATTGATAAAACTTGTGACCTGTATAGGTTCCACAGGCTCAAAACACGTTTTTTTTGTTCAATCAGGGGCCATAATCCATGAAGTTACGGTCCAATATGCGCCAATATCGCAAGGAATTAAAATCTTTGGGTTATGAAAAAATTGTGACCTTTAGTGTGTACAATCAGGGGCCATAATCCATGAAGTTACGGTCCCATACAAGCCAACATCGAAAGGAACCAAAATCTTTGGGATATATACCTATATTTCAAGTTATGACTTGTAGAGTGTCCACAAAGAAGGAGTGAAAATGTGGGCGTATATAAACGCATCATTGATCTAGTGCCGAACGTACTATTAAATGGACAAGTGACATATAACGGATGGATTTAAGTGGAATTCTTTATGTAGACAAACACATTAAATCAACATTCGGTCATGTGACATTTTGGTAACTATGAGGTTTTAAAGTAATTTCATGTACTGTAATTTAATTCGTTCAGAGAATAAATTATCCCAAAATACATGTTCATTTTTCAGATAGGTGTCTATTATTGGTAAACCTGTCCATTATTTTCAATAAATAATTGACAGTTTTATAAATAAAAGACGATTGTTTAAGAAAAGCGTACATTCTCCTATATACTGGTTAAAAACATCAAAGGGTGACATCATATCTATGTTTTAATTTTTGTTATTAAATGTTTTGAAACATGGTAATGGTCACAAAAATATTTGAATATTCGAATTCAAATATTTTTTCAAGGCTATTTAAACTGTCTTTTTGTGTTCTTTATTCGATGTCATTTAAAACTAATGGAATTTGATCTGTTTTTAGTCTACAATGAAAAATTCACTAATCTTAATTCAATGGACGTGGGAGACTATCAGAAGGCAGAAAAAAAAATTAAATCATTATGTGTTAGTAGATCAAGGGCCTTATTCATGAAAACTTAAACTGAAAGATTCAGGCTGAAAGCTTAATATCTTAAATCAAAGATTAGCCAATAAAAAAAACCTGTATTTTTCAAACAATTTAGTTTTTGTGAATAAGACCCCCAGGAGTTTTTGTATGAACAAAACTGTAAACAGTAACAACATTAAACATGCACATTAACATATAATAAACCCATTAATTTCATTTCGTTTCATTTTGTACTTCATGTTTAATGTGGGTATTCAGATCATGTTAACTTCTTGACTAATCAAGCGGTATAGTTTTGGTATACAGGGCTGTGTATTGTGGTGGATTATTTAAAAGTGTATATTGGAATAATTCTGAATGCGGTTAGAGATCATAAATAACCATTAGTGTTACAATTGTCTGATAAAAGTGCTGATTGGTTAGATGAGGCTACAAATCATGAAAAAATGAACGAAACAAAATTGTTATCTAATTTAAATTAGATGGATAGGGTACTATAAAACAAGAAATTAACAAATGCAAAGAATTAATGACATTGGACATTTCAAAAAGAAATAATGTTATGGCTGGTCACATTAATTCTATGCCGTTCCCCCTCTGTATTAAGCATGGCAAGGAACAGTGTCTAGTAGTTTGGATGGGACAAACAACTGAGGTCCTGTGTACACATTCGCATACACATTAAAGAACCCTTGACAGTTGAAATTCGAAGTAAAAGAGTAGGCAAAATTCCTATGCATTAATTTCATGCCGCATTAATTTCTTGTTTTGTAGTTTCTACATGCAAACAACAACGACAACAACAACATCAGAATTATGCACATTAACATAATCACAGTACTTTACTTTTCTGATCTTAATCATATCATGGAAGGCGACTTTCATTTCAAGATAAGATTTATTCAAATTTTAAGTTAAAGACATTAATCATCATATGCATTCTTTGGACAATACCTAATTTTTCACAGATTAATCTACAAGCAGATGGAAACTAAGTATGTTTGAGAAAGTGTTTTTTTCTCGCTCATTTTCAAAACCACCCATCAGAAACTACGTTTCCCTAGACTGCCTCAAACTGTCACAAGTGTATACAGTTCTCAGTCAGGAGAGAGCAGTAATTTCGGGTGGTTTTCGGTCTAGATGCCAAACTGTTAATCTACAAATATATTTAAAAAATTAGCAAACACTATTGTAAAAATCTTACCTTTTAGACTGATATCGAACTCTCTCTTTAATAGTGAGGAAAACAGACTCTAATTCTGGGACAGCACCACCAATACTTGGAGAAGCCGTTGATAAAAACAATTTGGCATCATTCCAGTCTTCTCCTGTTGATTGTTGAATTTGGCCATAATACATTATCTTTAAATAAAGAAAACCCATTAACCTCTTGTATTTACAGACAGCTCAGAAATCTAATAGTAGGCTACCATGAATTGTAAAGATGGGTTTATGTATATCTTCTCACTAAATAGTGTGGGGCCATGGCAGTCAAGAGGTTTGCAATTGATTTATTAACTAGAATGCCTTACCATCAGGATTTCTCCAGTCATTAAGGATGGTGCCTTAAGGGTGGTGCCTGTGGGCTAATAAAGAATAGTGTCTAAACGTTCAAATGGAATGAATAACCTGAGTACACATTGCCAGTGGGCATGTAAACGAATCCTTGGAATTTCAAGAAGGATAGGTGGAAAATTTGCCGTGAGGTCAAAATTCTTCCCGTCAAATTACATAAATGAAAATTACCATACATCAAGCACAATCAGTCTGGTGGCTGTCATTTTGACTGGCACAGATTTGTCTTTTTTCTACGAAAGCCCATTAGGGTCAATCAAATGGTAAAAAAAAAATCTGATTATCTTGTAACTTATTTTAAGGTCAGCATACACCGATTTATCACAAACAGCTAGGCCTACACGGTACTTTATTTTATGTTACAGAATCGGCACATTCATGTCATGATCCCATAAATATCATTCGTTATTTTCATGCCTCCATAAAAATCATAAAGTTCATACTTTCATTAACGTCATACTCCCACCAACTTCATATTAATATCAATGATTCATCAATTTTAATGCTCTCCTTGAAGCCACAGAACGCTATTGATATTTTTCGGAAAACTTCTTTAAATTTTGATTTTTGGCTGTTTTTGTTTTCCTTTGTTTTGACTTCACACAGTTTTTATTGTCTGCAGAAGTTCATATTACATTAATATGTGCTGTTAGAACCATTTTTGTATATTTCAAGGTTCCAAGAAATAGAGCGATACCCACTTTAATAAGAACCTACTGACGTATATTTAGGTAAATTTTTATCACATTTTTACAGTCATATAAGTTTTGGTTTTTTTTTTGATTAGGGCTGTTTCGTCTATATCCCTTTTAAACAAGCCGTTGCCATCTTTACATTTCGCTGAACCTGTTTCATGCACCTATATTTAATTTGATTGAATCCAAGCCTGCAAATTACCATCGTTGCGATCTTGATTTTGATTTCTTTAATAATTAATTGGTGCACATTCCGGCTTGGATTTTCAAACTTTTCTGAAAAAAGTAAATGGCATTCCGTGGCTTTAAAGATACATTGTGCCGAGAGTATTTATCGGGTCGTATGTCGAATAAAAGTATGGCAAATTTGGTATATATGGAAAGTAAAGACACCCAATCTTACTGGAAAAATGCTGGATTACTCGAATAAAACCAAAAGCGCAAGCAATGGGCAAAAATGTCAGGGCATCACTAACTGGCAACCCGATTGTTGTCTGCCAGCTTATCGTGTGCTAGATTGACTGGGGGAGTGGTTGTTATTTCTTGATAAAATGGTTAGGCGGTTTTGAGAACATTGAGGGGTGTCAACGGAAAAAGTAGTTGACAGAAAATAATTAGGAATTATGTACGAGTAACGAAAAATACATTCTAAAAAATGGTCCCTCCCTTGTAATACTTTTAGTAGAATTTTTGCTCGAGAAATAACATATTCGCATAATATGTGATATGTACTTAAAATACTTAAATCAACTTAGTCTGTAATTGATAGTTGACACATAAAAAAGAGCGATTTATCGAAAACATATGTCACTCATTTACCACCGAATTACACATGAGTGGAATTATTCTAATTGCATCATTTGATTTAAAGTAACCAATCATTTTGTTAATTACACAAGTTCAGGGCCATGATCACGCGTTATTGTGCATGATATTCACTTACCTTTAAAAGAAACCGGGGAACCCTGTAAGTCAGACTTGCATTAGATTCCAGAGATCGAGGGTACATCTGAGTTCCTAGACAGCCGAGAGGCTGGATAGGGTGGAGAAGTGGTTTTAGCTATATAGTATTGTAATTTGTGCTATGCTTGTATACCTGTATTCAGTTATATGCTATATAAAATGTAGAAGCGAACTATGCATTATTATTCCTGGTAAGACAGACGTCTTAAGAAACTGTGAGAAGTAAATACACAATGTGAAGCAGAAGTAAAGACAGCTAGAGACAAATTCTAGACGATCACAAGGCTACAGAAATATGTAGTAAGAAAAGATGCATGGGTTGTATGTAGGATGTGGCGACCGGTTTCCCATAGACGCTCTCCACGTCAGACAGAAGACTCATGGTGCTACATATTCTATTTGGTGCACGTGACTAAGAGATCGAGTAACCTGGAAGAAGAATACATATTCTATTTGGTTGCCGTGACAGTTTCGACCTTTAGGGTAAGCAGAACATTTGGAAGAAGATTAGAAGAAAAGAGAGTAAGCATCACATATTTTCCACATCTAACCAGTAACTGTATAGCACTGCATAGTCTTACATATTCGATTTGGTTGCCCTGACAGTTTCGACCTTTGGGGTAAGAAGTCACTTTAGAAGAAGAATACATATTTGAAGACGTTACGAAGAAAACCTGTACAATCCAGCAACAGAAAAAGTCTGGTGGAAAAAAAAAATCTGGTGGAGATATTTGAAAAATTGGGTAAATACATTTTGTTTGGTAAATTAAATGTGTTAAATTTGTTTAATGACCAAATAATATTAATTCAAAGTTAAAATCTGATAAGAAACTAAATATTTAAAATTTAACTGTATAGAGAATAAATTACAGTCATTCATAAATTGAGATTGATAGGTTTATTAAACAATATTATTTCATGAGTTAGGTATGTATATTATCGGGTTAACATGACCTGTAGTAAATTTGAGTAAAATTAAAGTTAAAGTGAAAGTTTAGGGAGTAGGTTAAAAAAAAAATGTTTTGATATAACTAAGGAATAATAAGGAAACGGAACAGGGAATAAAATAGGAACTAATGTTGTCTTCGGGTTGCAGTAGAAAAGAAGGCAGAGCTAAGGATGAAGTTTGTGAGTGATTAACTCTAGTTTCCTAGTTGGCCGTGGTTTCTACTGTGATTCGTTAATTTGTGTTTTTGTGTCGTTTGTATGTGTGGTTAATTAGCCATATAATGCTAATATAATTTTGAGGCTCTAGTCCAAAGTCTCAAGATTTTAGTTTTAGTCGTAGTTTAACTTTTGACTAAAAGGTTGAATTGCCATTATTCGTGTTTTTGTGTCGTCCACGTGGTAAAATAAGTAGAGTAGTGTAATTTTGAAGCTCTAGTTCAAGGTTTCAAAATTAAGTAATTTAACTTTTGATTAAAAAGTTAGGTTATGTTAAAAATCCCATATGGTTAATCTAGGGATGTTGGTTATAGTTTTCCTGGGAAAAACTAAAATTATTGGCACGTTAAATTGTGAGATTATCGCAAAGTCATTAATTCGAGTTTAATAGGAGGTTAAGTTAAGAATATGACACTTTTTAGAAAAGTGGCGGTATACGGTAAATTTTGTCCGTATATAATTTTATGTAATTAAATTTTTGCTTTAGAAACGTAATATTAACCTTTAATATATACTGCTAATTGCTTTAAGCTGTCAACATGTACGCAATGATTAGAATGTGTAATTTGACATTAGGTCAGATTATTATAAACAATAGTATTCATACTGTGTTAATTTTTGATGTGTGTGTAAGTCACACTATGTGGGATATAGTAAATTATGTGTAATTAAAAGCTAGGTGTATATTTTGATGGTCATGATTATATAAATATGGACTGTGTTCTGATTGAATGGAGCGTACGGCTATTTTCTCTTAACATAGTCGTGGATAAATTAAATAAAAATGGGTTTTTGCATCAAACTGTAGGATGGAATGGAGTGTCATTCATATACTGATCATATTTGATTGACAGTTCTATTCTAAATAACCTGTTAGGTAATACTAATGTGGAATAAGTAACCATGGGCTTGTTTCATGTGTTGGTGTATTTGTTTTAATTCACATACAAAATGGTAGATTTATATGATTAGGTCAAAAAGGTCACATTACTGACGGTGAAATATAAAATAACAATGTAGGAAATTCTAAAACAGAAAACGCAATTATAAAATGATCGAGTTCAGGTCATGAGGTCAAAGTTAGTTTGAAGATTTATAATTAAAGGGACACATCAAAGTTTATTAATACTTAAATAAAGTTTAATTTTAATTACAGTAAGATTTGCTAATACGTTTTCGAAATAATAATGTTAGACTAATAGCAAAATAAAGTTTTTAAAAAAAAAATAGGAATAGTTAGTTCTTGGTCTGATGGCAATGACATGTTTGATTGCCGGATAAAATTGTACAACCCATATTTAGAAGAAAAAAAGAAAGTTTCAACTTGATACTATGGTAGCTGAAACAGACCAATACACATCCAAGAAGAAGAAATGGTTTACCAGTTTACCAAATTGAGATTTCCTGAGACAGAATTTGAAGTGAAACCTGAACTTTATAAACATTACGTGATGTGTTATAGTGTTTTGAAATTAGGACACTTGAAGATTTAAAAAAGACAATTTGTGTTTTCTGTGTTTAGGCTTAGTGAATTTTCATAGGATTTTACAGTGATGAACTTTTTGGAGAACTTTTGCATGCAACTTTTGATTTTTGATTTTTGATTATGTGTGTTTGTGTTTTCACAGTTTTGTTATATAGTATAGTATCATTGATATTTGCCTGTTGCATGAATAATTATAGGGTTTAGCACATAGACGTTTTAAGAGTCTCCTACCTGTTCATTTAGCATAAATCTTAGAAGGCGGGGAGGTGATAATTATATATGTTGATTTTCTAGATTTCTGCTACATTTATGAATAGTTATATAATTCTACAGATGTTGGTATGGTTATTGTAAAGGATTCAAGGAACTTTTACCCAATACCGAGCAAAAAGTCTTAAAGAAAGGGACGAATGTAATACTTTTAGTAGAATTTTTGCTCGAGAAATAACATATTCGCATAATATGTGATATGTACTTAAAATACTTAAATCAACTTAGTCTGTAATTGATAGTTGACACATAAAAAAGAGCGATTTATCGAAAACATATGTCACTCATTTACCACCGAATTACATGTGAGTGGAATTATTCTAATTGCATCATTTGATTTAAAGTAACCAATCATTTTGTTAATTACACAAGTTCAGGGCCATGATCACGCGTTATTGTGCATGATATTCACTTACCTTTAAAAGAAACCGGGGAACCCTGTAAGTCAGACTTGCATTAGATTCCAGAGATCGAGGGTACATCTGAGTTCCTAGACAGCCGAGAGGCTGGATAGGGTGGAGAAGTGGTTTTAGCTATATAGTATTGTAATTTGTGCTATGCTTGTATACCTGTATTCAGTTGTATGCTATATAAAATGTAGAAGCGAACTATGCATTATTATTCCTGGTAAGACAGACGTCTTAAGAAACTGTGAGAAGTAAATACACAACGTGAAGCAGAAGTAAAGACAGTTAGAGACAAATTCTAGACAATCACAAGGCTACAGAAATATGTAGTAAGATAAGATGCATGGGTTGTATGTAGGATGTGGCGACCGGTTTTAGTACTGGGTCCGCTCTCCACGTCAGACAGAAGGCCTATGGTGCTACACCCTCAATGAAATGAGTTGACTGACATGGCGTCTAACAACAGTTTATTTATAGCTTGCGGTATCTCCCGACGAATACAAAGTTTTGATACGGATTTGAAGCAAATGTTTGATAGATTAATTAGTTTGAATATGTTTTTAGCCCAAATACATCATCAAATCACACAGTTTATATGCAGGGAAAGTATCTTTAAGGAGAGTATGAAATCAATGTATCATGAATAAATGATATCAATGAGGGTATGAAGCAGGGTTCTTAATCCATTTTGAAATGAACCGGCCACGGGTAGGCCTAACGGATAGTCGTCTTTTCAACAACAAACATGTTGGTTTATTCATACTCTATTCACGACAGTAATTGCATAATTCACTAATTGCATAACGTATTCGGGATAATAATACCTTTATAATTGCATACTTGTATCCATACATCGCTATAATATCGACATTTATAGTCATTATTATTTCAGCAACTTGCATTGCATATTCCTACTTTTGCTTTCATCCAACTAAACGGAAGTTATAAATTAGTAAAAACTACAAGTACATACAAATGTTTTTTTTTAAATTATATTATTCGTAAGCACATGTTAATATATATAAAAATAAAAAAGTATATAAATAACAAAGAAGCAAAAATCAGTTTCCGTGTAGTCGGAACTCGGAAATATGCTGTACGTACGAAAGGTCACGTGGCCAATTGTCATGATTCAGGTTAGTTTATTTTTAGTGTTACCAGTATACACAGCAGGACTCGTTCGGATATCTGAGAGGATCTCTTCCTCAATTTCACTGAATATTAAAGAAATAAATTCACCACAGTAATTAAAATCCCGATATAATTTTTTTGTCATTTCATGTCCCGTTCCGTCAAATCGTTCAATTATTGTTCATAATCATAATTTGCGATGGCAATGTTTCTTTTTGCTATGAAATAATATCTATAGATTTAGGAATTAAACTCTTTGTTCTGCCATCGTCTTTCTTTGCTACGTAGGTATGATCGTCAGATTAATATGGTATTTTATTGCCAATAATTTGGTTGACCTATATTGCACGTGGGAGGATCTCCGGCTTTTGGAATTTCCATTGACGACGTGCATGCTTGAAGTTCAAGGTCAACGCAGCCATCTCTATCTTCAGTTAAATCTCGTTTACGTTTCCTGGTGTCATTCTGCGAGGTGTTCAAGTACTTGGCATGATTACCTCAATTAAGTTGTTTATTTATGAAATAAGCCGAAGGTATTCATTGTAATGATTGACTCTTTGATGGGTTTCTTAATCGACGAGTAATAATTAACTCTTTGTAATCGGCCGAAAGTAGATTGATTTATGATAGTGGCCAGTTCATTGTTTTACCAATCGGCCTGATAATTAATTCTTTGTAAATCGGCCGAAAGTAGATTGATTTGTGATACCTTAGTGGCCAGTTCATTGTTTTACCTATCGGCTAAAGCCGACAAAAAACAGCCGATTAAGATCCCTGGTATGAAGTTGGTGGGACTATGCAGTTAATGAGAGTATGAACTTAATGAATGGTTTTTAATGAGGGCACGAAATAACTAATGCTATTAATGGGAGCATGACCTAAATGTGCCGATCCCGTAACCTAAAAAAGTACTTCGTTGGCCTAGCAATCCGATAAATCAGTGTTGGGTGACCTTGAAATAAACTAGTTAGAAAACTTTTTTTTCACGTGACTGACCCTAATGTGCTTCCACGTATCTTGTAATTACAAGATAGTTACAAGAAAACTATCTTGTAATTATAAGATAGCAATTTTGTAATTATAAGATAGCTATCTTGTAATTATAAGATAGCTATCTTGTAATTATAAGATAGCTATCTTGTAATTATAAGATAGCTATCTTGTAATTATAAGATAGCTATCTTGTAATTACAAGATACAGGGAAGCACGTTAGGGTCAATATAACCTATCTTGTAATTACAAGATAATTTTCTTGTAACTATCTTGTAATTACAACATAGGCTATATTAAGCTATCTTGTAGTTACAAGATAGTTATCTTGTAATTACAAGATACTCAGAATATTTTTTTTCCTTTGATTGACCCTAATGGTCTTCCGTATTTTTCAGTGTTTGGATTGATATTTTCAATACATGTACAGCTCAAAGTTTCAAATACCAGGTACTAGTTCATTAGAGCCTATTTTTTATCAAATGCCAGATCTGTCTGGCTTCTTTTACATGCCCACCAATGTGTACATGGGAGAACACTTCATGAACCCTTTACGTGTTAGCCACGTCTGACAAGTGTTAACCCAGATTGAAAAATCCTTAAGTTCTTCTCAGTCCACGTAGGATTTCAATCAGGGAACTATGCCCTTGACCCTGATTAACTATGAACAGCAAGCATGTTTCTATACCTTCATGACACCCTCAGCTGTAAACATTCTGATATCATAGCTAGGAATCCAAGAGGCATCATTTACAACATAAGACACAACCAACTCTACTGGTGTTTCTGATGAAGCATCTAATACTATTGTACATTCTCTAAAATAAAAAGGATAAAAAAATTAAATTTTGGCTCTATTTTCTGTTAAAATGTTAACAAGTGAACTAGATTTCTTCAGGGTACATGAGGTCATACACTGCAGTGTTTACCAGTCCGGGGTCAGCGAACAAATTAGAGGGATGTAAGGGACAGAAGGGGGGGGGGGGGGGGTAAAAGATGAAATTCTGTAAGAAATTGGTGGTATTCTGACATCCAATTTCAGTGCCTGATTTCAGAGGAGTATATCTATTAATTAAGAAATCCCCTGTTATGAAGTACCTTCAAAGTCTAGAACTGAAACCATGCCTCTTACACGGTTAACAGACCTTACCATCTAAAGTAGACACATTAGACAACTTGGCTACCGCCCCAAATACTTAAGCATCATTAAACAGATTAAATTGTCTCTGATATAAATTATTACCTTGATTCGTCACCAGTTCTACTGTTCATCACCTGACCTTGATTTTTGGCATTAGCATCAATCTTGCTCTGTAAATCTACCAACTTTCTCTCCAATGTTAATCTTGAATCCTCTAAACTTTTTCCTTCAGTTTTAAACAAGGATAAAAATTTTGCAATGCCTTCAAAGTAAGAATCATTTAAAAGAGTTTCTTTCTCATCTTTCTTCTGAAATGTAAAGTCATTTAAACATGTTATTTTTAATTTGTTAAATAGATGTACTGTCTAGTCTTAGAAAATGATAGTTTTTTCAATATTGGAGACAAGGCATGTGCTTATACGGTTTTGTTTATCTACAAGTAATGATTGTTGTATTAGGATCCTCATAACGTATTCAGGATTTTCTAGTAGGGGCCTTCGGAAGTGGGGGTGGCTCTGCAAAAAAATGTTCCAATGTTCCTGGCAATATATGCAATTTGAGTCTGTTTTTTGAATAAGGAACACAATCAAAAGAAATAATTGCATCTTATTTCCATGCTTTTAAGAGAGGAAGAAATATGTTACAAAATTGACTTACAGCAGTCGGCATGCCAGCAGTTGCAGATCTAGCAAATCCATTTAAAACTTCCCATTGTTTCTTTACAACCGACAATAAGGACTGCAGATCTTCTTTTTCTATCAACAAAGCCTTTTCAAGATCTTTGAGTTCTTGTTCTTTCGCATTAAGTTGTGCTTCATCTTGAGGGATATATTTAAGTTGATAGGATACCTCCTCTATAGTAGCCTCTCCCTTTCCTTCAACCCTGAAATGTAAAATAACATATTAAATAGGTGTTCTATTCAGGTTAATTAGGTCATCTGGTGCACCTCCTAAATTCTGTAAGTTATCCTGAAAGTGATTAATAAGCTCACAACAAATAAACAAAGAAGACTCAGTCGTAAACATCTCTGACCCTGTATACCAACAATTAAGTCAAATTTACTTCCATAATTAGCAAAATGCACAGCTACTATAGTATAATACTGATGCATATACAAAGTTTCATATTGAAATCATAAATGGTTTATGAAATATGCTCCAGAATCAGAAACCGGGATGGGAGAATGGTCAGAGCCCACTTCAATTTCCCTTCCTTAACTTCCATCGGCGTTGGATAATAACAAAGGAATCATATTTGCTAGATGACTGTTTATAGCTCTTGGCTACATGTATAGTTATTTCCCTGTTTGTCAGTGATGTGTGGCATTTGGGAGTTTTTATACATTTAAAATAGAATAGATTTCCAAGATTACAACTACTATTATAAATGAACTGTGTGTTGATGTGTATCTATTGAGTAATAAACCACGAGTATCATCTAGAGGTGGTGGAATAGGCTTGTTGTACAATAGTAATATAAAGTTGAATGTGGAGCATAATAATTTAACCCAACCACAGCCTTTTGAATATTGTTTGACAAAATCTACGGATTTGAGTGTTCTGGTGATTTATCACCCTCCACCTACTGCCACTAATATATCTTCCAACAGACAGTTTTTATCAGAATTTGAATTGCTTATATCTAAAGCCGTTCTTCTGTCGGAATCCAAACTCATCCTGGGTGATTTTAATTTGCACGTTGACAAACCCAGTGATCCTGTTGTTGCCCAATTCAATGACTTACTTCACATAATCTGGTTCAGCAGATTGTGACCTCTATATGGACCACACACCCAAAACGTGATTTTTCGTACAATCAAGGGCCATAATTCAGGAAGTTATGTTCCGATATGCGCAAATATCGAAAGGAACCAAGATCTTTGGGTTATAACCATGTATTTCAAGTTTCATCAAAATCAAATCAAAATTGTGATCTAGAGGAGGTCCACAACCTTCATATACCAGATGTTCACACTACATGTATTTGCGTACATGGGGCGGCCATTTTGTCCGACGGTTTTGGTCCAATTTTCACGAAATTTAAACTCAACCATCATTAGGGTGTAGCGGTGATATACTAAAACATTTTTTTAAATCGGATAAAAATTGTGACCTCTAGAGGGACCACAAGCTAAAAACACGATTTTCCGTACAATCAGGGGCCATAATTCAGGAAGTTATGATCCGATATGTGCGAATATCGACAGGAAACAAGATATTTGGATTATAAACATGCATTTCAAGTTTCATAAAAATCGGATCAAAATTGTGTCCACAAGCTAAAACCATGATTTTTCGTACAATCCGGGGCCATAATCCATGAAGTCATGGTCCGATACATGCCAATATCAAAAGTAACCAAGATCTTTGGGAGATAGATCTATACTTCAAGTTTCGTCAAAATCGGATAAAAATTGTGACCTGTAGAGTGTCCACAAACAAATTGTGGACGGACGGACAGGGACGACGACAATATACGTCAACATGAAAATGTGGGCATATAAAAAGAGATTTGAATTTCACTGTACAAGTGAACTATGGAGTATGGCGCTGTTTCAGTGAACAGGAGGTCTTGTCAAGCTTTCTCCCACAGCACACAGTGACGGATCATGGTAAGGGCAACAGAGACAAAAATTTTTTTATAATGTTATATCAATTCTCCGAATATATTCCTAAAAAAAACAAATTCTGCACTATGTGGAAATAAGATCTGTATCAACTTCATTCAGATTACTAATCTAGATCGACACTAACTGCTTAGAACTAAGTATATGACTTCCCACCTGGGATATACTCCACAGATTACCATTTCAGGTCGAAACTTTTAAAATTTTCTCGGCGGAAGCAGAGTGTCATCTATTCACTGGGGCGCGGAAGCTACACTGCCTGAGGGTCCGGCAACCTCATGATCCGTCACTGACAGTACACTGTATGGCATGCTCGTCTTCATTAGTCCAGTTGGTGTAGAACAGTAGGGACACTAAGACCTGTCATTTCATCTATAATCCCTCTTGTATTGAAATTTGTTTTACATGTAGGTAATATATGTTTCTGCTGGCCTCAAAGAATTTCACATTCAAGACATAATGTTTTTGTTAAAATTCTTCCCACTAGTTCAAATATAAAGATATTAATATGTATGGATATTTACTTAGCTGTAGGCTCAGTAGTCAATTTTTGATTCATACAAATTAATACAATGTTGTCATTAGTTTTAAAGAGTACATACAGTATATGATTTTATTTTGTATCTATAGATAGCAGTAATCATTGAAAATAGCTGAGTGATTTTATAATCTTTTCAGTCCATCAACAGTCTCTGTTTAACGAAGTCATGGTGGACATTGTCTAATCTTTTTAGCATCTGATGTTCTAGAGAGTTGATTAAAAGTTTGGCATGTGAATAAATATCTAAATAATATTTATATAGCATTTGAAGCCAGAAGAAAGACCTGCAATAGGCAGATTTAACTCTTGCGTATGCATCTTTATACTAACCCTAACCTTTGTTCACTTCACATGAAAAATGGGTAATTATTATTATTATGGTGTAATTATATCGCGCATTATTCACCTAAAGAGTGCTCAGATGTTCTTTACGAATTTTAAGAAGATACAATACATAGAATAAAAATACAAGTAAATAGTCAAAGGAAAAAAAAATGTATATATATAAATTACTGAACCAAAAATGAAAATACAAAAACAACTAAATTAAGAATTTGGAAAAAAACGCATCACAGTTAATAAAAAGCTTTGGTAAAGAGAGAGAGAGATAGATGGGGTTTAACATCCACTCGTCACAAACTAGGTCATTTTGGGACTAACATTTGGTTTAATTTTATTTTAATAATTCGCTTGCGCATAGGGGTCTATAGCAGTGGGAGGAAACCCGAGGACCTGGAGAAAACCCAAGAGGTTGGATAGGCGACCCTACTCCTTGTCATGTTCAACCGGGGATTCGAAACCACGCCAGTTGACTCAATGACAGGCTTTATGATACAGCACGCACATGCTAACGATTCGGCCATCCAACCCCCCCAGCTTTGGTAAATAAAAACTTCTTGATGAACAGTTTCTTAGGCTAAGTGGTAATTTGTTCCATAATTTAGGTGCCTTTATTGAGAAAGATTTTTCCCCAACCGATACTTGTTTTGCATTTCTTTCTATCAGCAAGAAGTTATCGTTATTTGAGTGGAGTTCGTGAGATGGTTTGTACATGTACAAACACAATAGGTGTGAGAGGTATAATGGCGCAAGATAAACACTTGTAGGTGAAAAGTAGAATTTTGTATTCAATTCCATAAGATATTGGGAGCCATTGGGGATTAAACAGTATTGGATTTATATGGTCATATCTAGAACAGCCTGAGATGAGATGAGCAGCTGAATTTGGTAATTTTTGTAGTTTGTCCAAGATTTATTCAGAACACCTGACAGCAGTGAAATAAAATTATCTAGTCTAGAGATAACTAGGGCTTGTATAAGTGTTTTGTTGCATCTATTGTTATAAACCTCCTAATTTTGGCAATGTTTCTCAAATGAAAGTAGCCTACTTTAAACACATTGTTAATTTGGGACTCCATATTCATGTTACAATTGTAGATTGCACCAATGTTTCAGGCTGTAGTAGAATTTGTGATGGATGACTCACCAACACGAATAGAAAGATCATCATCTAGCTTTGAGAGGTTGTGTTTTGAACCAATTACAAACTACTCTGTTTTCTCATCGTTAACTTTAAGGACATTCTGTGATATCCAGAGTTTTAAATCATCTATACATTTTTCAATATTAAACTTTGACAGTTTAAAACTCTTTGGGCCTGATGGCTTGAAGGAAATATACAGTTGGGTGTCAAATTCAAGTCCTAATTTGCGATCCAGAAAGCCCAGTAGGGATGTATACAGACTGAACAGTATCGGCCCCAGTACAGACCCTTGTGGAACTCTAAATTGCAGCAATGATTCAGCAGAGGAGATGTTTCCAACCAGACTCCTCTGTGTTCTTTTGCTGATGTATGATTGGATGAGTTGCAGGGCATCAACTTCAATTCCAAAGTCTGTTTCAAGTCGGTCTAACAGAATATGGTGATCCACTGTGTCGAAAGCAGCTGATAGGTCTAACAGTATCAGTAAAACACAGTTGTGATTATCCATAGATGTGTGAATATCATTATGAACTGATCTTTTAGAGGCATTTAGTAACTGGATAGAGCAATAAACTATAACACATACTTATGGAAAAACAATTATTAATTTATTTAGGCGATGTTTCCAAGAGTATTCTCTCAAAGTTTTCAAGCAAGTACAGTAACAAATGTGTAGGGCAATTATATATAGACAAGCAATAAACAATCAGAAACCATGCATGACAACAACAAGATCAAAGGCATGAAAACAACATGATCAAAGGCAAGGTGCTTATAAAAGATTAGTGAGACCACTGATGATTGGAATTCATTAACATTGGAGATATTAATAAGTAATTATAGGTGTAAATAATTTTAATTAGACAACCAAAAATGACAAATCAGAAACCATACATGCGATGCGGTAAGGGGCTAGGTGAGGGTACATCAAAGGAATAGTAATGCTGTTTCAGTGCTGTGGTTCTTCCTGTATGCACTTTGAAAAGATTCTAGTAAATCGCGATCCCTTATATGTGATGATATTTGTTTAGAAATAACACGTTCCAGGACTTTGGATATAAAACTTAAGTTTGACACTGGCCTATAATTTTTCCCAATATCGGGGTCTTATGATTTCTTCTTAATAAGTGGAAATATTATAGCTGTCTTAAAGATATCTAGAAAAACATTTTCCTGAATTTCAGAGTTTATAATGTTGGTGATGACAATGAATAATGATGGTAGACAATCCTTCAAGAACTTGATAGGGATTGGATCTAATGGACACGATTTTGAGGCAACAGCTTAAAATTAACTTCGATAATTTGGATTCACTAACATTATTAAAGAAATTAAGTGAAGGAGGAAAAGACAATGGAGATACTGCAGAGGTTACCTCATCTTCTTCCAGGTAATATCTGTGTAAGGATTTTAATATATCTACATATGCATCCAATATTGTGTACTGTACTGTGTACATATGTTAAATAATAAAATTGATGTTGAATTTATGAAACATATTCTTTTTTACTTATCATGCACAAATAAATATAATGACAGTAAAGTCTTTTGTTAAAGTCTCTGTGTGTCATTTGCATTTTTTTGGAAAATATAAAAATTTCCACCTCTTCTTAATACATGTTGAAATGCACTTAAATGGATTATATTCATTTCATCAAGAATACAAAATCAAAGATCAACAGTAGAAAATCTCCCTTCTTGTATTCAAATGGATCAAAATATTTTAGCAAAGATTATAGCTAGGTAATACTAGCTTGCTTTAAAGGAGCCTAATCGCTAATATTTGGGAGCTAGAAATTGATACAAATGGGTCGCAACTCATATAATAATGTAATACTAATATGAATTTATATAAACTGATTTACATTCAATTGTTTCCATTTTTACTTTAATTTCGAATCAGTTATGTTCGGTGATAAACGCCAGCAGTCTCAATGGAATGGCAATCTCTAGCGTCTGGTTATTCCAGTCTAAACCAATAGTATTTATACGTGTAGCGCATGCTCTCCAGATAAGAAATATGGCGTCACCGTTTGACATGACTTGTGGAATTTGTCTAGCCTCGTTCCTTGAGTCCCTTGTTACAAATGGCGCTGAAAGTAAACGCATTATGGTACACGATTCGTATACCAATGGTAAAAGGTTTATTTTGTCTTACGTACATATTGGATATCAGAAGCCCATCTTTTCCTAGTAAGATCAGAACATAAATATTGATTTAAATTGACAAATAATTTGTGTTTTCAATGTTGAAGACTTTGCATGATATTGAGTTAAAGATTTAGTTACTTTAACCATATCCCCTTTATATCCTCTGCAGTAGAGGATGCCTACATTCACAATATTCAAGTTTGCAAAGGATTCCTCAAATTATGATCAGTGACTTTAAGGTTTGATTGTTTATTTTTATATGTGTGTGTGGTTAATTTGAATAATCACAGTTTTCTTATTCCTTGTTAAAAAATCAAGCATAATATTATATTTGATTAAATAAATAAAATAAGAATTTAGAAATTTATGGAAAGGCTTGAATATTATTCTAAATTAATTCTAAATTTATTTTCTTGGTGGTGACAATGATAATACCCATATACTTAAAATAATAATATAATAATCATTTATACAAATTCTTAAAAAAAAATCTTTTAATGAGCATATCCACTTTAACGTCTACGCCCACCTGACCTAAATATTTTGAGGTGCAGCAAAAATAGCTTACCAGTTCTGATTATTGAGGCTGACAACAACATATTTATTGCGATTTACACGCAATACAGATAATAGATTACAAACCTGATCGAATCTCCATCTATACATTCTGGTAGATTCTTCAATAATATTTCATTGATACCTTTCTTTGGCTTGGTGTTAATGACCCTGCACACCTCTGCCCGGTCGGCATAAACAGTTATTCTCCGCACAGGGCAAGCGGGCGATAGAAAAGTATATTCATCATCTACGGCAACTTTTACGTCTTCGACACCAACTTTTGCTTTTTCCAATTCTGTCATGTTAAAATATAAGTAATTTCCTGTACTGACACTTATGTTTTGTTGGTAATGTTTATGCTAAACCTTGTTGCTGTCGTATAAATCGATAAAAACGTAACAAAAATGCTGCTAGTACGCTCTCTCAGTATAAATTATACTTGCTGATCAAGCCTACATATTTCTATTTTTAGCACATGACGTTACGTTTGCGAGCATTAAGAATGAAGAATCTGATCAACAAAGCGAATTCATCAGAATTTTTATACATAAACAACATTCTTAAACGCTATTTTTGTTTATGTTTTAAAGAATCGTGTTTGCGTGAAATTTACGGCATTCGATTGCTATTATTTCTTTATGACGGAATTTACTTTACTTAAATGAAAAAACCCAAAAAAACATCTGATTGTTAACTTGTCCATCAATAAAATTAATTTAAATCAACCATGAAATGTATTATTATGCCAGGGGTAAATCCAATAAAACAAGCGTCCTTTATATATAGTAACCGAATAGGTTTCACCATAAATAGATATTATTTATAGTCTAATTGGTGCATTTTTTATGTTAGATGAACTATTTAAACTAAATTTAATAGGGTACAAAATGGATCAATTTTATTTCCACTACTGTTATAGTGTATATAGAAAAGTGAGGTTTTTAGAAAGAAAAAACTAATTTCATCTTAGCTAGCGCTTTCATCCACTTTCTTTCTAAAAACCTCACTTTTCTATAAAACACCCAGATAATATTTTGGAAAGCCTACATTTATTATCGTGGAATATTGAAGGTCTTTCGTACAAATTATCCACAAACAATGCTGAAATCCAATCTATTACCCAGCAATATGATATCATTGGGTTTGTTGAAACATTCCAAAAATTGCCTGATGAATTCTCTCAGATGTTTCCGGGATTTTGTGTGTGTGTGAATGCATGCGTTGTGTCAAACTTTTAAATCATCAGGTGGGGTTCTGGTGCTTATAAAAGCCTCTTTGCAAAGATATTCTAAACAAATTCTGCATGATATGGTTGCATGTCAGTGCTTCAAAATTGGGTTTGTCCAAAAACATTGTATTTGGTTGTTGTTATGTACCGCCAGGAGAATCAATATTTTAAAACGCAAAAGATGTTAAGTGTAATATCAATCTAATTCATTCAGTGATATTCAAAGTTCAACAGTTGTATAATGATGTTCATATTATACTTCTTGGTGATATGAATGCCAGGACGGGTCTTGAGCTCGACTATATTAAGTTTGACAATCCTTCGTATATACCGGGACTGGAGTCTTGCTACGACATATTTTTCCATGACAGTATACAAATAGGTAAGCCTCGACAAAATTGTGATAAACATGTTAACCCCTTTGGGAAATGTCTTCTAGAGATGTGCTGTGAAAATAACCTTTTGATATTAAATGGTCGATCACTCTCAGATCCTTCAGGAATCATACGTATTTGAGTGCAGGTGGTTCGAGCACAATAGATTACATACTTATAGTTAGTAGCAGTTTGTTTTGTAAAGTGAACGATTTTTGTGTCCTCAATAACGATATTTCTAAGCAATTTTCGATATCATGTGATATCCAACTACGTTCACGGGAAGACAAACGTGATGTGCGCGACACCTCCGTCCGGTACAGATGGAAAGAAAAGAATTCAGACATGTTTGAATCCTTGATTAGAGAGCCAGAATTTATGGATGATCTGCAAGATGTATATCGGGTCCTTGATCGCAATAATATCGACAAGGCTGTGTTAAAACTTAACAAAAGTCTCAGAACTGTTGGTGATAAAGCGAATATGAGATTTGGGCCAAAGCAGTCCCCACATCCACAGTGTCCGTGGTTTGACTCAGACCTAGAAGTATTGAAACAATCAGAATGTAAATTATTAAACCAATTCCGTTTAACGAACAATGGGTCTGATTTGGGTGAATATTTAGATGTCATAAATAGATTTAAACTAGATTGTAAATCCAAAAAGAAAAGGTATCAAAAGTCACAATTAGAAAAATTATGCGACGAAAAGGATCCTAAAATATTTTGGACTAAGATAAAAGTTTACATTCAGAAAAAGATACCCCCTGCTATAAATATTAATATTGAGAACTGGTACAACCACTTTAAGTCTTTACTTAATCCATCAGTTGAATCCTCAGATGATGAGTTTGATTGCTATGTAAATGAATATATACGTGATAATAAATGTAAACATAACGAATTTCAATCGGATCCAGAATATTATGAACCAAATCGTGATATTTCGCATAGTGAAATTCTCTCTGCCATTGCAAATTTAAAATCCGGCAAAGCTCCTAGTGAGGATCTCATTCCTCCTGACTTTTATAAGCATGCATCGAATCAAATGTTACCATTACTCCATAAACTATATATTCAGTAGTGGCGTGCTCCCTAAAAATTGGTCCCATAGCATTATTCACACTTTGCATAAAAGGGGCGACACTGATAACCCTGGAAATTATCGGGGAATTTCATTGATAAATAGCGCCTGTAAAATACTGTGCACCATTTATAACACAAGGCTTGTAAAGTGGTCTGATGAGAAAAATGTGCTTGTTGAAGAACAGGCAGGTTTTCGTCATGGATACTCGACTGTTGACAATATATTTGTTTTTAATGCAATAATCCAAAAATATCTTTCAAAATCAAAAGGTGGAGTCTTATATTGTGGATATATCGACTTTTCTACAGCCTATGATTGCAATCCTAGAAGTAAATTGTTCTATATTCTCCTGAAAAATGGCCTTAATGGTCAAATGTATAATATATTGCAAAATATGTATGATTGTGTAAAATCAGCAGTAAGAGCTAATGGCGCTCTCTCTGAGTATTTTGAATGCTTTTCTGGAGTTGTATTCTCAGTCCTTGGTTATTTGGACTGTTCATCAACGTGCTAGCCTTGTTAACCAGGGCTCAAAGTGGTGCTGGTATCTTCATTGATCCTAGTATCGATGACGTATTCTTACTTCTTTTTGCTGGCGACCTTTCCCTCCTAGCAGATACGCCTGCAGATCTACAGAAGAGGCTGGATATTCTTGATAGATATTGTTCAAACTGGAACATGAAAGTTAATTTAGAGAAATCCAAAATAGTGGTCTTCAAGAATGGGGGTATTATCTCAAAGAGGGAAAAGTGGTATTATCAAGGAAAATCTATTGAGGTCGTAAATCAATATAAATACTTAGGAGTTGTATTCTCGAATCGACTTAAATGAAATCTATGTTGTACAACATTAGCACAGCAAGCTTCCAAAGCATTAAATGTCATCAAACTATGCATTTCCAAACTAGGTGAGTAGGTCATAAAAATGTTAAAATCGCATTCAAACTATTTGATTCAAAGGTTTCTCCTATATTGTATTATATGGGGCTGAAGTCTGGGGAACTGAATTAAGAATAGATATCGAACAAGTCCAAAATAGATTTTGTAAGTGGTTATTATGTACTAGTTTTAAAACATCAAATGCTTTAGCAAGAGCCGGAGGTGTTAGATATGAATTATACGGTAATTATGTATGTAAGCCCATTAAGTATTGGTTTAAATTATTGGGCATGGATAACTCCAGATTACCGAAATTGTGTTACAAAATTCTCTATGATCTTGATGTATATAATAGAATAAATTGGTGCACTAATGTACGTAAGTTTTTGTTCAAATACGGATCTGGTCATGTTTGGTTTAATCAAGGTGTTGCTAATATTGCACAATTTATGCTGTGTTTTAAACAACGTGTTAGAGATATAAGTCTTCAAGAATGGCATGATTTTATTACCAATTCACCAAAATGTATGTTTTACAGTCTACTTAAATCCATTATTTATTGCGAATCACACTTAAACAGCAATCTTCCGCATAAGCTGAGATTTGCATTAGCAAACTTTAAATGTTCAACTGTTCTTCTCGATGTAGAACAAGGTCGTAGGGACAAAATCCCCCGGGTGGAACGTATTAATTTGCCTTATTACACTATTTTGCCTATACCGTTTTTTTAGGACTTGGTTTTATTTTATGCAAACTGTGTAACACTAATCAAGTGGGCGATGAAATCCACTTCATGATATACTGTCCAATCTTGAGAGATCTAAGACACAATTTATTACCGTCATGGTTTATTAGATCCCCAACAGTAAGTAATCTAGTGTCACTATTTAATTCGACTGATCACATCGAAATATGGAATTTGTCATTGTTTATATCAAAAGGTATCGAATTAAGGCACATAATGCTCCGCTATTAACTCTAAATTTAGTTACTTTATTTATTGTGAATATTTTTAACTAAAATAGTAAGATTTAAATTGTAAATATCATCTTTCTTGAGATACGCCTTACCTTCGTTTAACACATATATCATCAAATAGAAAGTAACTTGTAACTTAATTTGAACATTTGATATTATATAATTTATAGATTATCTTTCAGATTTATTGTATATGTACTGTAGGCTGTTGCCTTATAGTTATAAATAAACTGTTTGTTTGTTTGTTATAAATTAGTTTTTTCTTTCTAAAAACCTCACTTTTCTATATACTTTTACCTGACAGTAGAATCTTTTATCTATTTTATATTATATATATATATCCGGAAATATAAGCACAACCGTAAAGCTGCACTACTTTGTTTCACGGTAAACGATGAAAAGATAAAAGGTATGTCGACAAAAACTGATTTCTACACTGGTTTAATAACATTTTAACATTTTAAAGTACCTTTCGTCCGTCTTGGGACTATTCATAAATAATGTCATTGTATAAAGATGGACAGTATAGTATATTTATACATATACATAGTAACACTGTGGTTTTAATGGGCTTTAGTTACCATTGTCTATGGTTACATAGTATATCGTAACTAATAGAAAACATGTACACACGTGTGTTAATCTGTAGTATATGGGTTCAATTTTGGAACAATGAGTGGAAGATAATCATGGGATAGATTTAAGCCTGGCGCACACTACGCGACGACGTTGGCGATTTCGGTCGCCGACGATGAAAAATCAAAAACTTGCCTAGTGTGCGCACTCGGTCGGTAGCGATATTTCGTCGCCAGCGACCATCGCGGCGATGGTCGCCAATATCAGAAATGTTTGATATGATCGCCCAAATCGTCGCTTCGTCGG